CTTACTCAGTTTGAGAGATCAAAAAGATGTTTAAATAAAATTATACAATTTACAGATATGTATACAAATATATATATCCTATATACACCATCATGTATAATGATGGTGTATGATGTAGAAGGAAGTGTGGTAGATAACAAGTAAATATAGAGTTACATACAGATCCATGTTACAGCAAAAGATGGAATAACTCAGAAGCACGCAGTATAATAATAATTACATGCAACAATTAAATAACTGCTCAGCATCTCCACCACAATCCCAATCTGCTGTGTCCTGTTTTCCTCCCCTCTGCATAACACCCCATCACACATACGAAACACAACGCAGAGTCCGAGGCTGTTAAGAGTATGTTTATTGAAATGTCCTCCTCTCTACTGGCCAACACAGGGAGCATATGCTGGGTGTAGAATTGTTCCAGGAGGAGGAGATTTCCATGCCATGCAGGGTCTTTGGGGATGGGGATGATGATCGCTTCCTTCGTGGTCCACACAACAAAGTAGCAGAGACTCCGGTCTGTGATATGCAGCTGCCCTTGGACCTGATGCCAGTATGGGTGATTCTCCTTGAGAATATATGACCCACCCTCCTCACGGAGACAGAAGGATGGTAACTGGACTGCCTCAGCGATGGTCATGTTCCTCTGGCTGTGTGGACACTTCACCTCCAGCAGGGCAGATGGCTGCACAAGTCCATCGGGTGATGCTCCCAAAACACCCGACTCACTCACAAAGAGACCAGACTCGATTCGAACACTGTCACTTGATAGGCCTCCACAAAAGCCTCCACAAAAGCCTTCACCCCTTCGGCTTCGTTTACAACCCCCCAGTTGACAGTTGGCGATGTCTCTGGCCAGTGGGTTGTATGTCTCCTCTCGCTGTTGGTAAAGTTGAGACACCGGCTGGACTACTTTTTAAGTGCCAGGCTTCCTCCACTGGCACTCAACATCTGTGGAGCTGATCTGCCACATGGCAAATATTGCCAATGCTGCAGCGTGGCTGCATTTGTACATCTCCTGTGCACAATCACAGACAGCGCTCTGCATCGCGCCATCGTCTCCCATGCAGATCTGTAAAAATAAAGTAAATACCATTTGTTAGCATGCTATAATAGATTGAATGAGCAATAATACAAGGATGGTCCGGATCTGGGGGTGGGAGGGTTTATTTTTCCATAGTTTTGTCCTCTTGTCTGTTGTTATTGTTTGTTTTTTCTGTATTTTTTGTAATTTGTGTTGTATTGGTTGTGATTGTACTTTTCTAAATGTGTATGAATACATTTTTGAAAAACATTTGATCAACAATAAAAAAGGATTTGGTCAGGATCTAGACTCAGTGTGTAGTTTATTAATTAATCAATGCTTTCTACATTAGGAAAACACATACCGGTGTACCAGAGGGAGTCACACACAGCTGTGCCTAGATAACCAAAATCCTTGAATCGACACACAGCAAATAAAGTCAAATGACACAACGAGAAAAAGGAGATCACACATACAGTATAATCGATATAAAACTGGCCGCTTCAATCTGAAGAGCAACTAAAACAAAACACGGGCGTGTACCTTGTTCTTGTGAACACTAATGTTATCCACAGCATACACAGAGACCACGAAGTTCTTAAGGAGAAAACTAGTTACTAAAACAAAACACGTTAGTGTACCTTGTTAGCTAATGTTAGCTAGCTGACATTAACGTTAAACATTGCACTCATATTACTCACCGAAACCTTGTAAAGCCGGTCCTGCATGCTGGCTCTTGCAGAACCGACTAACTCCCCTTTCATATAGGTACAGCTCTCAACTTGCCCAGACTTGTAGTGATTTTCACCTCGTAAAATAATTGTATTCTCATTCTGAAAGAATGTGGTGAAATGTGCTAACGTGACGGCCATCTTTATGTTGGTGACGCGTATTGTGCGAGACCAGAGACCTGTAGTTCACTGAGCGGTTTCACACGAAAAAATGTGTAACTTCACAGTTTTACGACACATTTTTATTTTTTTGACTTGCAAAATGTTCTATTAAATTGACAAACATCATATGTGTCATTCGTGGCACAATTCAAACGGGATCAAAAGATAACCTTTCTCTCTCCATTGACTTCAATGTATAATTTTCCGCTTCCGGGGTCCCATGGAGGCTTTCGGAAGGGGAGGGACTTCGCCTAGTAAGAAGGAGGGGTTTGGTGTTAGGTCAGCTGGTCATCTTTTCAGGTCATCTCATTGGGAGAAGCAACGCTGGCCAGCAGGAAACCAAACAGGCTCACCTTACAACCAAAAGTCTCAAGGCCTGCATACCTACACCTCCCCCACAGAGCAATACAACCCTGTTTACTCCAACCAGCCCAGAATGTTTATAGCCATTTGTAGTCCTTACATTTATGAAAGGATAAAACAGAGAAATCAATATAAAACACAAACACAGGTATTGTTTGAACAGTATTCACTTAACTGCTACTATTGATAACCACCAGAGAAACCCAAGGGACCTCTCTTAATATTACAACCACTGTAGCTCGTTCTAAGTTGAATGCAAATCAGGACATGCTCTCACCTTCCCCCATCTTCCTTTGTCCTCAAAAACACATGTCAACAGGCCCCAAATGCAGCTCACAGTTTTACCCAAATTATTCCCATTTTAAGCTTATCCATAGTTTGCTAACATGAATAAATACAAATATAACTCTACAGTGTTCAGAGACGTTAACGTGGCGATCAGTCCTTCGAGGTAATTAAAAGGACAGGTCACCGTTTCTCTGGTGCAGCAGCTTCATAAGGAATCATGTGATGAAGGCCTCACTTGTGGTTCGATTTCAGTTTGTCATCTTCGTACAAAAGAGCCTGAGGGAAGAGGAGAGGAGAGGGAGACACGATTCATGAGAACGATGACAAAGAGATGCTGCGTACAATCACACTGACTATCAGAGATCTTTTCTGGGATTGGAGGTGTCAAAAACGATAGGAGAAAACATGGAGTACAACTTTCTGTTAAATATGTGCCTTGCACATGTGTGTATGTGTGTGTGTGTGTGTGTGTGTGTGTGTGTGTGTGTGTGTGTGTGTGTGTGTGTGTGTGTGTGTGTGTGTGTTTTATACCTTGCTCTCCAGCAAGTTGGCTCTGTACATTACTGAAGGAGTGTTAGCTGTGTGTGTTTTGTTGTACAATATATGTGTGTGTAAGTTGCTTTCCAGCACTCTGTAGTGTGCGTTATAATGAGTGTGTGTGTGTTTGTACATTGCTCTGCAGCATTCTGTAGTGTGTGTGTGTTTGTGTGTGTACCTTGCTCTCCAGCACTCTGCAGTGTGTGTGTGTGTGTGTGTGTGTGTGTGTGTGTGTGTGTGTGTGTGTGTGTGTGTGTGTACCTTGCTCTCCAGCACTCTGCAGTGTGTATGTGTGTGTGTGTGTACCTTGCTCTCCAGCACTCTGAAGTGTGTGTGTGTGTGTGTGTGTGTGTTTGTGTGTGTACCTTGCTCTCCAGCACTCTCCAGTGTGAAAGCGCCAATTATGTTCCTATTCATTTCTAATGACCAGTTTCCATGTCAAGTGATCGCAAACTTTGCCAGCGTGAGAAAAAAAGAACATGGCGGACACCAGATTTATTTTTAGTGGAAAATCCTAAATTGTAGGATAGTTAAAATAGTTATTGCCGTTAAAATGCTTTTTGATTACATTCCTAGCGAGAAGTTTATATTGTACTTTTAGAATCTACGTCCAGTGGATGATCCATAGTTAGATATTATGAAGATGATTTGAGCTCCATGTTTCTTTTTACAAAATATTGTATCCATGTCACGTCTTGAGATGGTTATTTGTGAATATACTTTTTCGTTTTGCCCTGTCGACCAACGTAGTTAATTACATGTTTTTTTGTGAGAATGGGTTGGTCATGACTTTCTCCGACTCTTTCCACTTTCTGTCCCCGGTCTTCCAGCTGTAAGTGACGGGTCCCCCTCACAGGTCAGATTACACGGGCCTACCACACTTCCGGTTTGGGAACATGTTTGATCATTACAGCTTTAAATGTGTCACTTTGGACCTTGTTGAGAGAACACGACCACTTCCCCCATGTTCACAGCTCAGTGCAGGGCGGAAAGAAGATCTGTTTCACACCAGCTTCTCAGTTCTTTGGCTTTCTGCTTTTTGTGTCACCTGACAGCATTTCCTTTCTCTTTTTTAGAATATTGAACTTCCTCTTTAGAAGAAGATGATTCTCATCATGAGAAATACGTTTTTGTGATGGAATTGTATTCTTATTTTTAAACCGTGAGTTATAAATTAAGTATAGGCTAGTACATGTTAAAAAACAAAATGGAAAGAAGATCTGTTTCTCACAACAGCATCAGCCTCTGAGGATTGTGGTTTTCCGCTTTATCTGTCATGAAACCGACGGCACTTCCTTTCTGTTTTTTACAAGACTACCTTTATTCTTTAGAAGTAAAAGATAGCAGTTTTATGAAAGAAGGGACGTTTTTGTCTTCTGAGTGTACTTTAAAAAATATATATGGCTAAGATAACCCACAGCCCACACCTGCTCGACTCAGGACTGCCTGTCAGCGGAGACCCTCACTGCCGACTTGGGAACATGTTTAATCATTGCAGCTTTAAATGTCTCACTTTAGACCTTGTTGTTGATCTCCACTGAATACACACCCTCATCATCTTTAGCTAAACGTCCAGTGACTTTGTCCAGTAAGATGCTGTCTCTGTTATGGGTCAAATCAACAGGAGGGTCATCAAGAACAAAAGTCTTGGTGATAGGGTGAACATGAACTTACACAAAGCAGTTTTAAAAAGCAATGAAAGATTATTTTTATTTCATATTTGATTGCCAAATAAACTGCATGCAAGATAAATGAATACATGATATCGTCACCATTGAACAAAAACATATGCAAAGCTGTTTTAAAAGTAATACATACAACTATTTTATTTCATATTTGACTGCATTCGCTGCTGACGTGCTATAATCATGTTTAAGAAATAACAGCAAACACCCTCTTTAAGCTTCATTTTCATAATCCCTCTCTCTGCTCTGACACGGACACATCAGTCTCCTGAGAGTCTCTCTGCTCCTCCACACCGCGAACACCACGACCCCCAGCAGGGCGAGGAGAGCCAGGGATCTCATCACAGCGCCCAACACTTTGATCCAGAGTCTGCAGGGAGGAACAGAATCATGCGGGCTGCTCTTTCTTCCCCACGGGGGTCCGGGGACCTCCATCCTGCACCAGAACCCTCTTCCACGTTGCTCTGGATCCCTGAGCAGGACGTCCAGATGAAGCTGCCTCCACTCAGTCCAAGGCCCGGCTCCCAGCCTCCAGCAGCCCCACGAGGACCCGGCCGGATTCAGAACTTCTTTGATCAACACAGCTTCATATCTTACTCCAGAACTCTCCAGAGGCATCTCTCTGAGGAGTCTGTTTGGAAGTGGATCACTTTCTTCCTCACTTACTGGGTTCTTCATCTTGCAGGTGAAGGTCTTCACATGTCCATGGTCTTCCTGAGTGATGGGCATGTCTCTCCTCGACTCTTTCCACTCTCCATCCCCGGTCTTCCAGCTGTAAGTGATGGGTTCAGCCCCGGTGGTGTTCCCCTCACAGCTCAGGGTACATTGGTCACTTTCATGGCTGCATGTCAGCGGGGCGATCCATATGTCCGGCTTGGGAACATCTTTGATAAACATAACGTTGTATGTCACTTTTTGCACTAGGTGGTTAACCTCCACTGAATACACACCCTCTTCAGCTTTGGTCATTTTCTCCATAGCTAAACGTCCAGAGGCTATGTCCAGTTTGATGTGTTCTCTGTTATGGGCCAAAGGAAGCACATCTTCCACCCATTCTGCCAGAATACTATCTTGAAACTTCCACTGGATGATGGTGATCGGATCGGAAGGAGCAGGCCTCAGGTCCAGCGTCACGCTACCGCCTTCCTTGATGAACTTCTCCTCAGTAGAAGCAGGGCGAAGAGAGGCCAACACCAGCAGAGAAACCACCAACACTTCCCCCATGTTCACAGCTCAGTGCAGGACTGAGAGGATCTGTTTCACCTCAGCATCAGCCTCTCAGTTCTGTGGCTTTATGAGACAGCATAAAGCATAACGCTCTTTGTGTCACATTAGAATGACAGTGTCCTTTTTTATATTGAAGTTCCTCTTTAGGGCCACGTGGGAAGAAAGTATTAGAGTTGGAAACATATTGTCAGAGTTCAAACTTAAAACTTTGAATCCCGAGCCAAGTAAATAGTACATATTAAATACATTAATACAAAAACTTAATACAAAATGTACAGCGTTAAAGAAAAAGAAACCAACTTGCATTTCAAGTATTTACATTTTTTAAATTAATGAATAGACGTCAATTTATGTTTTCAACTGTTTACTGTTTACATAGATCGTACCCAGAGACACAGTACACATTGGAACAATATGATTGCATACACAATACAAAATTGGCATCTCAATATCTTATATAATATATTTATCTTTAACACTACATCTGATATCTTAACTTTAGAGGTAAAGAGGAAGGCACACGAGGTTATGAGGAACACATACAAAAGTGGATTTAAATTAAATGACCACATTCACTTTACAGCATTTCCTGCTTTGTGGTAAAAAACGGTGTGCAAACTTCTTCCCTCTGTCACAGGGAAATGTGTGTTTGGGTAATTTAAACGGATTACAGAATACTTGGTATCAAAATCCGGACATAGAAAACATGATAAGAGGAAATAAATAAATATGAATCATCGTAAATTCAACCGGTCCCATCGGACTTACAAAATATGTCCCACAATGCATTTCACCCTCAGTCTGTACTGGAGTGCTGCATGATTACAGCTCAAACACTTATAAGGAATTGAGCAATTTTAATCTGCTTGCTGTCGCTACATGTGAGTCTCTTTGCTCGTCACTTATCGTCGTGTTTAATAAAGATTTTTCTTGTTACAAGCATTCAATTTAAGGCTGGTGAATGATTTCTCTCCAGTGTTTTTACTCTTATTTAACCTCATTGAAGGCTCATCAGAATATCACCTCTAAATGAGCAGCAAATGTGTTTATTTATCCAATCGAATCAAATAAATGCACTAAGAATGCGATAAGCGACAGAAAACCCTGAAATCAAACCAAATTAGGCAGTTATTATTATTTCTAACTGAAGAATTATGTAAACTTTAGTGCAGTTCAAACTCTCTTATTAGCTTTTTGGTCATGCATTAACCTTTAAGAGAAACGTTGGCCTTTTAGCCTTTGCAGACCATTTACATGCACTGAAACACACGCAAAGAGGAAACCCCAGAGAGCATAACAGGGCCTCTTTAAGAAGAACCTGGAGCACCTTTTAGTTTGGAGATGACTTTGAGTTCCTGTACGTTTGTGCAGATTTTGAGAAATTGTTATTCAATAGTCACCGTTTTATGATGTAAAAAAATAAAATTCTATTTGAATGTTTCACGAAAGAAAAGGTACATACATATATTTGTGTTTATGTAAAGGCAATTTGCAGATCAGACTTCCAGAAATCATTAACTCCTTAAGTCAATGAGAAAAAGTTGACATTATTATTTAGTAGTCAAAATATAAAATTTCATTCGATTTAAACTTCCATAAAAAGGAACGCTACAAAAAATGCTGGTCTGTCATAGTTCTTAGAAAGAAGGTAGAATCAGCAGGTCAGACTGTAAGAAAAGGAAATATTGGAAAGTCTGTGTATCATTACGTGTGTTTCCACTCTCTAGGACGTTCAGGACGGAGACACAAGAGAAAGATTGAATCGTTCCCCTGAAGAATGATTGTGGTCCCTATAAATCTAACCTGACTGTATTTTCGGGAATGTTTGTGGATGCATCGTGTCGCCAAACTTTATTTAGAAAAACCTGCGATTAGCAAGTTGGATTTCCCCCTTCTCTGGCATCTCTGGAATGTAATTAAAGTCACATACGTGTCTTTGTCGCCCGGTGTACCTCCAGGTAAGGCACAAACACCTTGTTTTTTTCAGGAAATAGAAAGGCAGTTTGGCGACTGTGTTTTCCCGTGGAGTCACACACAAGAGGAGCAGATGATTACACCTTCGTCCTGGAGGCAGAGCAGCTTCTTCGTCCCTAACGGTGTGTGTTCAGAGACGTTAACGTGGCGATCAGTCCTTCGAGGTAATTAAAAGAAGGGACAGGTCACCGTTTCTCTGGTGCAGCAGCTTCATAAGGAATCATGTGATGAAGGCCTCACTTGTGGTTCGATTTCAGTTTGTCATCTTCGTACAAAAGAGCCTGAGGGAAGAGGAGAGGAGAGGGAGACACGATTCATGAGAACGATGACAAAGAGATGCTGCGTACAATCACACTGACTATCAGAGATCTTTTCTGGGATTGGAGGTGTCAAAAACGATAGGAGAAAACATGGAGTACAACTTTCTGTTAAATATGTGCCTTGCACATGTGTGTATGTGTGTGTGTGTGTGTGTGTGTGTGTGTGTGTGTGTGTGTGTGTGTGTGTTTTATACCTTGCTCTCCAGCAAGTTGGCTCTGTACATTACTGAAGGAGTGTTAGCTGTGTGTGTTTTGTTGTACAATATATGTGTGTGTAAGTTGCTCTCCAGCACTCTGTAGTGTGCGTTATAATGAGTGTGTGTGTGTGTGTGTGTACATTGCTCTGCAGCATTCTGTAGTGTGTGTGTGTGTTTGTGTGTGTACATTGCTCTCCAGCACTCTGCAGTGTGTGTGTGTGTGTGTGTGTGTGTGTGTGTGTGTGTGTGTGTACCTTGCTCTCCAGCACTCTGCAGTGTGTGTGTGTGTGTGTGTGTGTGTGTGTGTGTGTGTGTGTGTACCTTGCTCTCCAGCACTCTGAAGTGTGTGTGTGTGTGTGTGTGTACCTTGCTCTCCAGCACTCTGCAGTGTGTGTGTGTGTGTGTGTACCTTGCTCTCCAGCACTCTGCTGTGTGTGTGTGTGTGTGTGTGTGTGTGTGTGTGTGTGTGTGTGTGTGTGTGTACCTTGCTCTCCAGCACTCTGCAGTGTGTGTCGTTGCTCAGCTCCTCCAGAGTGTCGACTGCCGGTCTGTTCAGAGTCTCCGGCAGCAGGAGGCTGAGGCAGCCGGCCGAGAAGCCGCTGAGGCAGAACACCGTGAAGGGCATGGAGGTGTGGAGAGCACGCTGCAACACACACACACACACACACACACACACACACACACACACACACACACACACACACACACATTTCCAGTAAAGACACAAGGGTTAATCTGTGGTTTGACTTTAAGATCAGTTCATAAATCACCAGTTAGATGAAAAACATTATACTTCCTGATCTGAAGTTGAACTTTACTACTTTTGAAAGACTGAAATATTAAAAAATGATCCCGCGTCATTGGATTTATTTTACATTTATTTTTATATTATTAATAGACATTGTTAATAAAGGGGCTATACATGATGCTACCAAACCACCACTAGGAGGTGCTATATGTTAAAGTTTAAGTTACACCGGCTGCCAACACCCAAGGTCAAAGCACAGAGGTTCAATTTGCTCGGTTTCAGGGGAGATGTATACTTTAAAGTCTTTAGTTATTTCAGCAGATGTGCCGGACAACTCATGGATGTTATGTTGTATACATTATTTAAATTGGGTTAGATAAAGTAGTTATTTTTAAAAGCAGAGTATAGGTTATTCTATTCATCATTGGACTCAATAAAGTAGGTCCAAACATAACGTATACATGTATTTTAAGGCCAATGTCTTCTCTAGTTTTAACCCGGATAACAATACTGTAACACTGGAAGTGACTGAGATTAAGAGGGGCTTTGTCCTTTTGGGCGGGTTAGAACACGACTGATCTCATACTTTTTCCACCTTCGAGGAGCTGAATCATGTTTCAGCGTCCTGAAGGAATTCATGAGTAAAATCAGGTCAAAGTCTGAGGCACTCATCATGTTTACCTGACTTAGCTCACACTGAGATATGTAATGTTTATGTGCTACACTGGCTGCTATTATCCAAACAACGGCCACTTTTTCTTATAACTGTCACACTTTCCATGTTAAATTCTTAAAAACTTAAACAATACATACATATAATCAATAGACGAACATAAACAAGACAGAAAAATAAGAATCCATTGAAAGAATTATGTTTTGAAGTAAAATGATCGTATCTCTTTAAAAGGTTTTGTACGTTTTTCTTTAGCTATTCTTGTAGTTCCTGTTTCTACTTTTACTCTTGTGTGTTATTCTTCATGTGCGTTTACTTCCCTTTTTAATATTTTCTTAGTTATATCTTTGTTCTGCGGCAACTGCTGAATTCCCCCTGAGTGAATCACCGTGTGTCCCTTATGTGTAATAAGGGACTTTTCTTCCACAGGCCAACTTATAAAACCTATGTGTTCTAACACCTAGTCAAAGATGGTGTAAGATTTCTGACAAAATCAGATTTACTAACGACTGTTTCCACTCGGACTTTAATATGCAGCTACACCATTGTTTGGTTTCCATGGTAGCACGTCTCTTTAGCAGCGAGCGCAACTGAAAGTCTGAGAGGGTGACACACACACACACACACACACACACACACACACACACACACACACACACACACACACACACACACACACACACACACACACACACACACACACACACACACACACACACACACACACACACACACACACACCACACATCACACACACACACACACACACACACACACACACACACACACACACACACACACACCATGGAGGGAACAAACGGAGCAAGGATTCCTCCAACTCTGCAGGCCATGGAGCAAACTCCCAAACCAGCGTTCCTGGAAAATACACATTGGAGTCATTAAAGGAAAGCACACAAGTGTAATGTGTGGGTATCATTGAACATGGTGTGTGTGTGTGTGTGTGTGTGTGTGTGTGTGTTCACCTGATGACTGTCGGGTAGAGTTCGGAGGTGTAGACGTAGGCGATGTTGAACGCTGCGCTGACCATCAGTTTTCCCAGAAGCGCCAGCGACGTAACGCTCAGCAGAGAGCCTGCAAACACAGACTCCACTGATTACATGTAATCAAACGGAAGCTAACTTGTTGCTTCATCTGTTTTCGATAACATCAACACATAAAGAAATTGGCCATTTTGATGCTGCAGAACTTTGCAATTGTGATTATTGTGGAAATTCAGGGATGGACTGAATGTAATTATGAATGAAGTTTTGCATTTATTGAGTCCAATATGAGGATGCGATCAAGAAAAGATGAAAACGAAACGTAAAACAAAAGTAGGCTCTTAAAATACTTGATTATTTGGAATAAGAATAAAAGAAAAATAGCTAAAGAGAAGAATTACATAAGAGAGTTTAAACAGAGTTCATAATCAGTTCCCTGTCAAGTGCATTTTAAATCTTAAAGAGGAAATACAAAACAATGAGTCTCTCATACTTTGTGATCCTAAAAATAACAGCTGGTATTAGTCAGATGCATTTCGACTGCCCAGCTCTTGGTTTCTTTCCTCTCACACTTCCTCCACAGCTGTGCTCAGATGTGTATTTCTCTGTTTAACCCTTATGTTGTGTTCGGGTCTCCCGTGACCCGTTTCAAGTTAAAATGATATAATAACTACCCTCTAGTTTTTGTTAATCGGAACAAGGCTTCTTGATATCCTCCACAACAGCTATATAAACACTAATTTTTCAAATGTTAGCCAAGTCTGAAGGATTCAACAACAAAGAAGTGTATAATTTGGTGTTGGGGAGAACCGGCAGAATTACTATGGGTCACTTTGGGTCAAATTTGGCCCAATCAAGATTCATCTTTGACTTTAGACACCCCTCCCCCGCCCCCTTCCTCAACTGTAACAATACTTTTAAGTCTGTTATAGTCAGATAACATCATCATTATCCACTCTCTTCACTATACAGAATATACTGAGTGAATTTGAATCACATTTTTTACTTAAATATGTGATGTGATGTGTTTTGGGCCATAAAATAAAATTACAACAGGATTGTACGGTTATGAATGCATTATAAGTTATGATGTAGTTAAAACAATATTGGATGATAGTCATTATTTTTGAGTGCTTTGGACTGAGATAAATCGTGGGTCAGAATTGACCTGTGAACACTATGAGCGGTAACAGCTTTCGAACACAACACAAGAGGTCTCAGAGTCTCACCTGTGTTTTCAGGGACGAACATCGTGCAGAGGCAGGCGCATCCCGCCAGACCCAGGAAGCTGGCCATGCTCTTCCTCCTCCCCGCCCTGAAGAAAAGACACATCACCAGGACATCTCACAGCATTACTACATTACATTTAGCTTTTATCCAAAGCAACTTGCATCCAGTGCTATCAACCATGCGCCGGAAGAAATGCTGCTCCAAAAACAAGTTAAACAATATTGAAAACAAGCTGTTTTCACTTGAAATAAGTAGAAAAATCTGCCAATAGAACAAGGGAAAATGTGCTTGGTTAGATGTTTTGAAATAAGAAGGGATATTCAGATAAATCAGATCTTGTAATTAGCAGAACTCATTTTGAACTATATTTGACCAGAATCAGGAGATGTTGTTACAATATAAGCCACAAATGCTTAAAAGTGTTCTGTGTTCTGAAGATAGTTGGTGATTTTCTAATAAATATGTAAAAAGAATGGTGTTTCCTCTGAGATACAACTCGAAATAAGATTTTTTGACTTAACAAGATGATGCATTGTCTAAAAACAAGACCCGATATCTCACTGCAGTGTTACTTCTGAAGTCAGTATGTCTTATATGAGGTGTAGAGATATATTCTGACTAGATATTAGACACATATACTTGGCAAGATTTTGAGTTTTTGTAGTGTAGGGATACATTCAGATCTAAAAGAATCCTGCACGAATATTAGCTTCAAGAGTTAAGGAATGAATAAGAACTCCAGCAAAAAAACATTTAGCGCTGCAAATATGAGACGACATATATTTGTGAAATCTTCAGGAAATGATCTTTGCCATCTGAGGTCTCAGTAGATTGACGAAAGTTGATAAAAAAATAACTGAACACAGATGGTAAAATATACGTGTAAAAGTGAGCGGATTATGAGAAAATGAATCCAGAAAGTTCAGAGACACGAAGGCTAAAGCAAGTTGAATCAAGCAGGAAGTAGACTCATGATGTTGCAATGCTTTATTAACATTGAGAGCTGCAGCGGTTAAATAAGTTAGTAAGTAAGTAAACGTTTGTGCTGGATTTTGTAAAAGAAACCTCTGTGTGTGTGTGTGTGTGTGTGTGTGTGTGTGTGTGTGTGTGTGTGTGTGTGTGTGTGTGTGTGTGTG